AAGATTTATCGACACAAATATCCCATTAAATTTTGTTAGAAATTATTGTAGAATAATTTAAATTTTCTTTATTGTTAATTATAATTATTTATTTTTAGGAAATGTAATTTATGCATGTATTGAAATGACTTTTGTGATTTTATATAATATACTTATCAAATAATAATAAATAAATGTATGTACCTGATTAAATTTATTATTATTTATGTAAAATAAGTAATTCACTTTTAGTTATAGTTAGAGTTTTTTATGGTGCTCAGTTATAAGGACTGTATACATCTAATGCAGTAATTATAAAATTTACATACAAAAATATAAGGGGTACTTGAGAAACAACTAATGGGCTAATAGGGTACATCAACAAAAAAGGTTGAGAACCACTGATTTATAGAAACCCAATAGTTATTTTGGAATGTGATGTTCGACATTACGTAAGTTAGCTGTGTATGGACTTAACTGCCAAGATGAATGATATTTTAAAGAGGGGGAAAAAAGGCGACTGGGGGCACGAACCCGGGACTGCATTGCTGAAACGTAAGCTTGATGCAGGAGCGTTTGAGAGAAAAAAAAGAAAAAGACGACATGTGGGTCGGAACCCAAACTGCACATTGCAACGGGAACATGTTGGCGGACAGTCTGAGAGGGGGGAAAAGACAACTAGTGGTTTAAACCCAGACTGCATGCACATCGCGTATTGAGGGCGGAGCTTTGCTGAGCAGACCACTAGCGCCTTCGGAAAAAATGACGATGTTTGTTCTATTTATACTTTATCTAAAGTACACGCAGTGCCATCTATTAGCGGAAAATTTTACAAAACGTTATTAAGTCATTAACTACTGTATATAAAAGCGGAAATCCGGTTTCTGACACGGTATGCCAAAAACGGCCACTAGGGGCGCCCCTAGCTATTATTTTATATTTTTACAGTATATTATTATTTTTTGAAGTTAATTTTGAAGGATGTTATGGGTAGAAAATTTTAAATTTGATTAAAAATCTGTTTCTTTTTTTCCAATTATTTCAAATTTAATACTAACAGATTTTTCTGAATTGAATTTTTTGAACTCATCTTCATGCAGTTCTTTTCCATTAGCATAAATAATTCATACTGTTCCTTTCCTTTCTCTGTAATAGTATTCTCTATGATTCTGTTAGTGTCGTGTAATACTTTTACATATATAGAATGATATTGAAATCATTTTTTGAAATCATTGTGGTGAATCCTACTTTTCTGATTCACCACAATATACATCTTCTGTTGCTCAGTGTACAAACAAACCAGTATTTCAGTGGAGATATCTGCATTATCATCATCTTTGAGAAAAGTTCAACAAGATATCATAATCAAGAAAAAAAGGCTAGTTTTTCTTTCTCTGATACCTTTATGTTTTTATGCAATAGTTGAAATAAAAAAAGTTAAGATCTCTAGAAGCTGAATTTTGGCACACCAGATAGCACCTGTTAACTTTTCACTTCTACCGAATGTTTTGCATAGAAGCGGGTGGGTCAATCAGAATATAAATATGGGACAAGCAGAAATTACATTTTGAAATTTTCTCAAAAACACTTCACACTGGCTAATTATTAATTTGAAAATTGCAAGCCTGTATATCATATTTCAATACCTTTTCAAAAAGTTTTGTTCTCATTTAACTTANTTAGAGGATGCAGATTTCCATAGAAATCAGAGATGAATTAATTTTGAGAAATTTCACATGATTTTCTCTAGGTATAGATGATATAATTAGTCTCAACGTAATATGGGGACTATTCAGATTCAACTTACAATTGAAGTGCAATTGAACTTGAAGTAATGCAGCTTGCTGCATCACTTCAAGTGGGAAGTTCTGTCCCGAATAT